AAAAAAACTTAAATCTCCTACTCCAGGTGTGGGGACTGCCATTTTTCATTTTGTAACTTTTCACATGCTCGTAATTTGGATACAGATGGAAGCTGACAATGATAGTACTTCAGAGAGTTGCAAAAAGGTGGCAACTATTTTTATAGACGCATCAAAGAAAGCATCCTATACGGACGTATCACAGCATCGTATGGCAACTGCTCTTCTCAAAACTGAAAGAAACTGCAGAGAGTTGTGAACACAGCCCAGTCCATCATGCAAACCACTGACTTCATCTATATTTCCTGCTGTCTTGGGAAAGCAACCAACATAATCAAAGATCCCTCCCACCCTGGTTATACTGTCTTCCACCCTCTTGCTTCAGGCAGAAGATATAAAAGTTTGTATACTTCTATGAAAACATTCAAGAGCAGCTTCGTTGAATGGATCTCTTCAATGTTAATGTTGATGTCTCTCTGTACCTTCTTCGCAGCTGTAACATTGTATCCTGCACTCTGCTCTGTGACGCTGAAGCACTTGTATAGTAAGATCTGCCTGTAAAGCATGTAACACAACACTTTCACTGTACATGTGACAGTAATAAATCAAATCAAATCAAATTTTGTGTTTGTATACTAGTCTGGTTTCTTTCTTGCCTTTAAGTCCAAAATCCATTAAAATGCAGCTGGAGGAAAATTCATGACTCAGAGAAGAGGAATCTGCCCAGAATGCAATGAAGCATCCATAGTTGGGAGAGGATATGGACAAAAAGTCCACATATGTTGAAGTGACTAGCTCTGAGTCAATCATGACATTGGCAGATGTCTTAATAGTGAGTCATGTGTCCTCCCCCTTATGAAAACCAAATTGTATCCGGAAGTGGGCAGTCTGTGGGTCAAGCAGCTGCTCTTTTTGTTCTACTTTGTAGTGATAACAATGGGTGCATGAATTAAATGACAGCATTAAGTGGTTGCTAGCTTTCATATAAGACTTGATTTGACTTGATTTGATTTGAATCTGAAGAAAGCTTCTCTCCACAAGGAGAGACAGGAAAATCAGAGAGGTACCTTGTATTTTAAACATAAAGTGCGGAAAATCAGTTTAAACATCTATCATAACAAAATGGCAATTGGAAGATTTTTAATATCAAGAGGAACCATATTTTGGTTGCAGTCTGCATTGGCTGAATTTCAACGTTGGATAGAACCCAAGTACTGGTACAATGATAATGTACGGACATCCAAGTCTCCAAATAACAGAAAACAATGTTGAAACATTTCGAATTATAGGACAAGAGTGCAGTGAGGTGCATTAATGTTATTACTCAGGTCTCCACCTTGTTTCAGCCCCTGGGATTCCTCAGGCTACATCATTTATCCCCTATTCATGATATCAGGCAGAGAGTGGCTGGAAAATAATGGTTACCTCAGTTGCATGAAATAGACATGCAGTAAAAGTCCACATCCTATTCAATAATGCAGCCTGCTGAGTTGTTAATGCAGTCGGGTGTACATCAACTGATTGGCCAAAGATTCGTTGACATTGGGGTGAAAGACATCTTGCTCCCTGAAATGAATCTTAGAACAATCTTGCTCCCTTTCTTGGTGTCTGTCTTTCTCTCCCAGATCTCTCATCCCCTCAACATTGGCTCCCATCAAATTCAACTGTGCCCGCTATGGGCCCTTCACATGATAAAAATGCTCCTGAAACTGAACATGGAGAGGGTGCCTCCAAGTCATATTTTGCCATTGTTAGGGCAACAAAGCATCTTCATTAATCTTGTAGACCATTGATATGAGACACTACTATAATAACCATTACTTTAAATTCAATAAATTCAGTGAACCTGTAATAAAAAGACCTTCTCTGTAATGGTGACTATGAAACTATCAGATTGTCATAAACAACATCTCTAGTTCATGAATGTCCTTTAGGAAGTGCATATTCTGCCCTTATCCAATCCGGCCTATATGTGACACCAGAGCCACAGCAATGTGGTTGACTCTTATCTGCCTGTTAAATGGACCACTAAGGTGTACCGAATCAATGTAATGATAGAAAATTAAGTAAAAATAAAATGGAGCGATTTCGTGGCATGGCGATAGTTGCCCTACATCTGAGCCAGAAGGCCTGGGTTCAAGCCCCACCTGCTCTGGACATGTGTAATAATATCTCTGAACAGGTTGATTAGAAAATACAAAAAAAGAAGAAAACACGATTAATTGGAAGCATGGGTGATTTAAGTAGTGGTGGATAATGGATGAAAAGTGCCATGGTTAAATAGATGGCAGAGAAAATCACTTTTTGGTTATGTTGAGAGCATTTCTGAAATGAAAAGAAAGATAAGGGCAAATGCTGAACCAGGAGGCTCAGGATCAAGTCCCACCTCTCTGGGGTGTATAATAACATCTCTGAAACAGGTTACACAGATTAGCCAAGGAACTACAAAGGAGACTCAGGCACCTAGTCAACAAGTCACCCCACTCAATCCACTCAGCCCAGGAATTCCTTAACTCAATCAAAGACATAAGGATAGACGACGAAGAGACCATGATATCGTCTGATGTCACTGCCCTATTTACATCAATTGACATACAACTAGCAAGGGAAACAATGACAACGCTACTGGAACAAGAGCAAGACTCCAGTGAAACCGTCTCCACAGACAACATGCTCAAACTGTTGGACCTATGTCTCACCGCCCACTTCACCTTCAACAGCCATACGCACAAGCAAATCAACGGGACACCCATGGGATCACCTATCTCCGGACTCATAGCAGAGGCAGTGATGCAAAGACTAGAAAGGACGGCCCTTCCGCAAATCCAACTGTGGATACACTACGTGGACGACATCTTTGTCATCGTTAAATGGACCAAATTACAGGAGACACACAAACTTATAAACAATACCCTCACCGGAATAAAATTCACCACAGAGGAGGAGAAGAACAAACAGCTCCCATTCCTGGACGTCATGGTAGAGCGCAAGACAAATGGGGAACTGCAAACGAAAGTACACAGAAAAGCCACACACATGGACCAGGTACTGAACTTCAACAGCAACCATCCCAGCACACAAAAACGAAGCTGCGTGCGAACACTATTTAAACAGGCAAAAACACACTGCAGCAATACGGAACTATGCCAAGAAGAAGAAGAATACCTCTTCCAGGTTTTCAAGGATAATGGATATACAAAAAACTGGGTCAGAAGATACCTACACGAACAACATCAGGAAGATACCACGCGCCCCGACACACTCATCACACTACATCAGGAACACATCGGAACTCACCACAAGACTCCTACGACCGCTGGGCATCAGAGTGGCACACTAGCCCACGTCAACCCTATGACAACTGCTCACACGAACTAAAGACCCACTCCCTGCCATGGACAGGACCAATGTCATCTACAAGATCCCCTGCAGAGATTGTGAGAAACACTACATCGGACAAACAGGAAGGAAACTAACAACAAGGGTACATGAACACCAACTGGCTACAAGACACGACCAATACTCACTCATCTCAATCCACATGGACAAGGAGAACACCAATTTGACTGGGACATCACCAAAATCCTGGGACAAGCTAGGCAGAGACAGGCATGAGAATTCCTAGAAGCCTGGCACTCCACGAAGCATGCTATTAATAAACACATTGAACTTGACCCCATATACATTCCACTATGAAGGAAAACCGGAAGTGAGGCAATCCAGCTCAACGGACTCCGACGCTTCATCGGAGGCTGCACTGAGGACGTTACCAAGCATGGTAACGAAACGTCTGCGAAACAAGAAACCAGCTCGGCGAGCCAACCAACCTCAACACTCTTGGAGCTGTTCTGTCTCCCTCACTGTTTCAGAATGCAACATTATCTTGCACAGAAAGATATACACTACTGATTTTTCGTTTGAAGTTTCTGAACTGTCCTGGTATTTTGGCAGACATCAATCAAACTTCTATGTCTGTGTATAGTCCAGAAAGGAAAAGGATGTGGTCCTTTATGTCATGAATGTGAGGTATATGCATCTGCGCATTCATCCTGGTGAGCCACTCCCACAGCTCCTGCTCTCCCAGTCCCCTCCATGCCAAAGCCTTTATCTGTTCCTTAAAAGTTGGTCACTGTGTTCTATCTCCTCATCAGCAAACACATGGGAATACAACCCAGATTCTGATTTTGAACTATATCCCTCCTACTTCACTGTTTGCTGTGTCAAAATCCTGCAACTGCCTCCCTCATTGTGTGGGTGCATCTACACGAAATGGACAGGAGCTGCTCACATCTTCACAGGGGTTTTTTTAAATTCATTCATGGGATGAGGGTATTACCGGCTACGCCAGAATTTATTGTCAATACAGTATGGAGCTGGAGGAACACAGCAGGTCAAGCAGCAAATGAGGAGCAGGAGAGTCAATGTTTCGGCCTGAACCCTGCAGTCCTGATAAGTGTCCAGGCCTGAAACATTGACTCTCCTGCTCCTCTGATGCTGCCTGACCTGATATGTTCCTCCAGCTCCACATTGTATTGACTCTGACTCCAGCAACTACAGTTCTGACTATTTCCCAGAATTTATTGCCCATCCCTAATTCAGCAGAGGGCAGTTAAGAGTCAACCACATTGCTGTTGCGTTTGGAGTCACGTAGGCCAGACCAGGTGAAGATAGTAGATTCCTTCCCTAACAGGCATTAGTGAACCAGATGGATCTTTTTTTTCAACAATGGATTCATAGTCATCATTACATTCTTAGATCCAGATATTAATTGAATTCAAATTCCACCATCTGCCGTGGCTGGATTCCAACCTGGGTCCCCAGAACATGTTCTCGGTCTTTGGACTAATAATTCAGCAAAACTTCTACTCGGCCACCGCCTTCCCCTCCTGTCTAATGGATACTGGCCTAACCACAGCCCATGGGGCATGAATGGATTTAAAATGAATCATAATTAGGACTGTATTCGGCCCTGGCCATATACCATCTCTCTGACGCCTGCGCAGTACGGCCATCTCCCGACATACCCCGCGGGGAATTTGAATTTGTTTCGGCGACATTGCTCCTCGCGCTGGCGGCGGTTAGACTCAGGCGCTGCTTCTGTTAACGGGCGGGGACCGGTAAACAAAAACAAACAAATAAGTAAATAAATAAATAACTGGCGCTGCCATGACTTCCAAGAACATCATCAGCAGCCGCTTCGGCCTCCGCAGAGCGGATGTGTCCCGGTCCGAGAGCGACACCGACACAGTCCGTAAAGAAAACGCGCTGCTCAAGAAGTCCCTGGAGGAGCTGAGCAAGGGCCAGACGTGGGAACGCGAGCGGAACCGGCTGTTGGAGGTGGGTTCGACAACATCAAGGCAGCACACAGCTCTCATCCCGAGCTGGCCTTGGCCTCAGGACCACTGGTGCCACCCTGGGGCTCCTCTGGCGATACCGAGTTAACCCAGTTTCCCATTTATTTAAAAGTACGTCGTTAATGCTATAAATGTGGTCCAGTTAATATTCGCCCGGCAATGGAATCGGGAAGCACGCTTGACAACTAAATTGTCTTTTTTTAAACTGACTGCAGCACATTACCCAGCCGTTTCCGTTGGTTGTAAAAGTTGTCATGTCGGGGCTTAACTTGTTCATGGCTGCACCTGCTTGTGATTTTTCTCCCCATGTAACAACTAGCAAAACTGACTGTAGAGCCAAACATAATGCCTTGAACTACCTTCAGACACCAGTTTACCTCTTTCCCTGGCTAGCTGCCTTAAGCTTTTGGAAAGAGGACCATAGGATTTAGGAGCAGAATTGGGTCATTCTGCCCATCAAGTCTGCTCCACCATTCGATCATGGCTGGTATGTTTCACAGTCTTATTTTCCTGCCTTCTCCCATAACCCTTGAACCACCATACTAACCAATAACCTATCCATCTTTGTCTTAACTGCACTCAATGATTTGGACTCCACAGCCCTCTGCAGCAATGTGTTTCACAGATTCTAAGCTTCATTGTGTACAGACCTAAACTGCTCAACCACTCCTCCTATGATGAGCTCTTTATCCCAGGATCATTCTTGCAAACCTCCTCTGGACCCACTCCAACACCAGCACATCTTTACTTAGATACTGGGCGGCATGGTGGCTCAGTGGTTAGCACTGTTGCCTCACAGCGCCAGGGACCCGGGTTCGATTCGACCCTTGGGCGACTGTCTGTATGGAGTTTGCACATTCTCCCCGTGTTTGCATGGGTTTCCTCCAGGTGCTCCGGTTTCCTCCCACGGTCCAAAGATGTGCAGCCTAGGAGGATTGGCCATGCTAAATTGCCCATAGTGTTCAGGGATGTGTAGATTAGGTGGGTTACAGGGGGATGGATCTGGGTGAGATGTTATGAGGGTTGGTGTGGACTTGTTGGGCCGAAGGCCCTGTTTCCACACTGTAGGGATTCTATGATTCTATGAAAATTACTGTCGATATTCCAAATATGGTCTGACCAGAGCCTCATACGGCCTCAGCAGTTCTGAAGAAGGGTTACTCAACCTGAAACGTTAACTCTGATTTCATTCCTCAGATGCTACCAGACCTGCTGAACTTTTCCAGCAATTTCTATTTTTGTCTCAGCAATACATCTGCTGTTGTATTCTAGCTCTCTTGAAATGAATGCTAACATTGCATTTGCCTTTATAACTGACAATTGAACCTGTTAACCTTAATAGAATCCAAATCTAGGACTCCCAAGAGCCTTTGTGCTTCAGATTTCCAAAGCCTTTCCCCAAATAGAAAATAGTCTACGCCTCTATTCTTAATAACAAAGAGCATAACCCCACACTTTCCCACATTGTATGCCATTCATCACCTCTTTGCCCATTCTCCTAGTCTGCCCGAGTTCTTCTGCTGCCTCCCCACTTCCTCAACATTACCCGTCTCTCCACCTTTCTTTGTGTCATCTGTGAACTTAGCAACAATGCCCTCTATTTCTTCATGCAGATCATTAATTTTGTAACGTAAATAGTTGTGGTCCCAGCACTGACCCCCTACAGTCACCCACTAGACACAGGCTGCCATCCTGAAAAAAACCTGCTTAACCCCCCCTCCACCTCTGCCAGTCAACCAATCCTCTATCTATGCCAGTACCTTACTCCCACCATCCCCCCCCAAACACCATGAATTGATATCATATTTAGCAGCCTCCTGTGTGGCACCTTTTCAACGGCCTTCTGGAAATCCAAATTGATTATGTCCACTGGCTCTCCTTTTTCTAACTTGCTTGTTACCTCTTCAAAGTATTCTAAAAGATTTGTCAGGCATAATCTTCCCTTGATGAAGCCATGCTGTTCCAATAGTTGGTATGGTAAAATAGGGAGATCTTAAAAAGTTTCAATTAGTGCCAACTTTTTTGCGTTAATTTCAAAACCTTAATTTCAGTTCATGTTGGACAATTTAGTTGCTTGCTGCAAGCTTCTCTGTTTGTTTCAAAGTGTAATGATATAAACAGTATCATAGAATGATTAAAGTACAGAAGGAGGCTGATCAGCTTGTCTCAGAGATAGTAGGAACGGCAGATGCTGGAGAATCCGAGACAACAGGGTGCAGAGCTGGATGAACACAG